TGGTGCACTCTGGGCGCCCCCCACCACTTCCACTTTTTGGCCACGCCCACCACATCCACCGCGTGCTCTGATTGGCGGATCAACGGCGGGAAATTTGAACGGGGTTGATGGTATATGTTGATTGGCGGGAACCGCTAGATCCACCGCGTGCTCTGATTGGCGGATCAGACGGCGGGAAATTTGAACGGGGTTGATGGTATATGTTGATTGGCGGGTAGATGCGTGCTCTGATTGGCAGACGGCGGGAAGTTTGAACGTTGATGGCCAGATCGCACCCGACCGGAAGTGATTCAGACAGCCGACGATAGTAAGGTGTAGTATAACGTCTATGCGTAAGCGATGTGACTCATTTCATGTTTTGCGGTAAATATTTGCATATAGATCGATAAAAGCCGATGAATAATGGTATTATAGATGCAATTCTGCGGATTCAGTTTAAATGGAAAAACGTATAAAATTCGCGGGAACAATGCGTATAGGATGATCTCAATAATCAACACGTCATATTCAGTGTGCATATAAAAATGGAATTGCTCATATATGTGGTGCATACAGTTAATGTTAGTTAATTTTTAACATTGATACAATATTGAAAACATAGTACAGTCTATATTGTGTATCTAATAATTCAACAAGGCAATCACCTACGTCGCAAATGAGGTTAGGTTCAGGCCGGTGTTGTCGTAGCGGTGATATGCAAGAAGTACCGGGCGGGGCTGTTAAGCATGGGTGAATGGGCAGGAGCGCAGGCTGTCAACGAGTTAATACTGACCAACGGCGGTGACCTTGAAACACTGTGGTCAGTTAAAAAGTGGTGGGGGTAAAATCGAGATTATAAATACCTATGAATCACCGCAAATTATCTTGTCAGTTATCTGCAGCGAACAGACGTGCTCAGTTCAGATTTAGTCGCTAGTTAACGTTTTAGTTTTTAAAAAATGGAAAAATTCTTCATCGTTAAGGATTCTACTAAGAAGATTAAAAAATTTAATCTATATGGGCGAGAAGTGGAATTTAAAATACGACCTATCCCTAAAGACGTCGAACCTGTGGGATGGATCAAAGACGCTCTGGAGGAAATAGTAGCCAAAGGAACTGAACATCTCCAGCCCAGTGATCAAGTTGGATTCACTTTCTGTTCCAAAGACTTTACCCGCGGTCAAGGATGGATAGCTTTTAAATTGTTTTCCGACGTTTCAAATGAGGACATATGGGAGAAGATATCTTCCATCTATCAGTCAAATTCTGTGGGGTTGAATACCGAGACTTTTTGCTTGGGTATTACGTCCGTAAGGTTGCCTGCTGGTCGTGGTAGAGCTCAGAATTTCAATACTTTGATGAGGAATGCGCCAAAAGAAAGGCATTATCACCGTTAAAAACACCGATAATTTGTGTCTCCCACGAGCCCTTGTCATCGCCATGGCCCATTTGAACAAAGACAAAGATTATAGCAGAATCCGCCTGATCGAGGAAAAATACAAGGACAAAGAGCTGTACAACTTGTGGAAAAGGCTGATATTGTTATCCCTGAGGAGGGGTGGGAATACCTGAACTTCAAAAGCTACAACGATATCTGCCAAAACTACAAATTGTTGTATACAAGTTTGGGTGCAAAGGTCGTGACGTCATTTTTGAAGGCGTGTCGCTGGTCCGACGCTTAACCTAATATATCACGAGGGCACTACAGCGTCATAACATCCCTCACTGCTGCCTTTTGCTGCAGCTTTTTTTGTGAGAACTGCCACATTCCGTATAATACTAAACAAATTCATAGATGTGATAAACAATGTTATGCTTGTAAAAGATCTCCGGCCTGCCTGAAAACGAAGCACATCAAATGCAAAGAATGTAATAGAAGCTTTATGGACAAGAATGTTTTTAACGCTCATTTACCATCGGTCTGTTCTAAAATTAAAAGATGTGTAGACTGTTTTAAAAGTTCACAACGGTAATGATCACATCGCGGATATATACTTTGTAAAACATGTTATAAAAATCACCAATTGAACTATGGTGCTATATACAGCCCTGACAGAAGTATTCCTAAATCAAATGATGTCTATTAATATTTTACGATTTGGAAACCCGTCAGGAGAAGGAATTACCCAATGGATCTTTACTGCATGAGCCAAATCTATGTGTATTCAAACAATGTTGTGAATCATGTACCGATAATCCTATATGCAAGAAATGTGGCCTTCGAATACAGATTCTTCGATGTCAAGACGTCATTTCTCCATTTATGCATCATATTCTGACACTTCGTAAAAAATTCAAGAAAGTCATTGTACTGGCGCATAATGGTGGAGGATTTGATCATCAGTTCTACTTCGTTACATTTTAGAGAAGACTAGTCTGTACCCGAATGTAATTATGAGAGGAACAAAATTAATATTGATGGAGGTAGGAAATGTAAAATTTCTGGATTCTCTCAATTATTTTCCTATGCCTCTAACTGCTCTACCCAAGGCGTTTGATTTGAAAGAGCTAAAGAAAGGATACTTTCCACATTTATTCAACACTTTGGCTCATCAGAATTATGTAGGGCCAATTCCAGCGCTCGACTTCTACGATCCCGACCATTTAAAGGAAGACGCTCGGGAAAAATTATTAAAATGGCATGGCGAAAGACAAGCGGAGGGATACGTTTTTGATTTTCAGAAAGAAATCGTTGAATACTGTATCTCCGATGTGGAAATATTGACACAGGCGTGTCTCAAATTTCGAGACCTGATGAAAACCGAAACCACAGTCGATCCCTTCCAGGAAAGCACCACTATTGCATCATGCTGTAACAAAGTCTTAGACGCAATTTTTTAAAACCTGAGACGATCGGGGTAATTCCAAAAGGGGGCTATAGATGGCGTGAAAATCAGTCAAAAATTGCCATCCAATGGCTGTTGTGGGAGGAACATCAAAGAGGAATCAAAATTCAACACGCCGCTAAGGGTATAGAAACCATTGTTAAGGGACATAAAGTAGACGGTTTTTGTAGCGACACAAATCAAGTGTTTGAATTCCAAGGATGCTATTTTCACGGTTGCCCTCGATGTTTCAAATACAAAAGAAGCAATCCTCTGCATAATGATCCGTTGAATACATTGGAAAGTCGATACGAACAATCAGTTAGCAAAGTAGAGAGACTCCGAAGCCTTGGACTAGAAGTAATTGAGATATGGGAATGTCAATTTCGAGGAATGCTAAACGATGAAATTAGAGCCTTCACAGAAGCACATCCATTGATAATCAATTTACCGATTAACCCCAGAGACGCTCTCTACGGGGGACGTACAGAAAATATCGTTGAATACTACAAGATCAAAACAAATGAATGCATAAAATATGTCGATATATGTTCCCTGTACCCCTTCATCTGTAAATATGGAAAATTTCCGGTGGGTCATCCAAAAAAAATTTACGTAGGTGAAGAATGTGTTACAGCCTCTCTGTCGCAGATGTCAGGACTTATTAAATGCCAGATTCTACCGAACCAGAACTTATATCACCCCCGTTTTACCGTCAAAAATGAACAACAAATTGATGTTTGTTAACTGTCAAAAATGTGGTGAAGATTTCGTTCGAGAAGAGTGTCAGCATTCTATTCAAGAAAGAAGCCTAAAAGGAACTTGGGTGATAGAAGAGGTGCTCAAAGCTATTGAAAAAGGTTACCAGATTATAGAGACTTACGAAATATGGGAATACGATACAATTCAGCTCAGTAAAGACCAAGAGGGGTTATTTAGCGGAATGATGAACAAGTTTCTACAAATAAAACAACAAGCTTCAGGATGGCCCAAACATTGCTTAACGGATGAAGAAAAAAAACCGTTATATTGATGCATTTTTGGATAGAGAAGACATAAAGCTGGAATTTTCAAAAATTATAGAGAACCCCTGTTTGAGATCGTTAGCTAAACTTATGCTGAATTCCTTTTGGGGTAAATTTGCTCAAAAAGAAAACCAAAACAAAACCTCAATAGTCAGAGACTGTGGTGAATTCTTTGATATGCTGACTAATCCTTCTATTCATGTAAATACAGTTCTCCCGGTAAACGAAGAAACCCTTCTCATAACTTGGGAATTTAGAGAAGAGGCCTATGACGTTTCTTCAACGGTTAACGTTGTATTGGCTTCATATGTCACGGCCCTAGCTAGACTAAAATTATATTCATTCTTGGAGAAAGTGGAAGAAAGGGCAGTTTACGTAGATACAGATTCATGTATTTATATCTCTCGTAAGGGATTAGACGACATATCTACAGGCGACTTCATAGGTGATATGACCGATGAGCTCAATGAGGGTTTCATATCAGAGTTTGTTTCTGGAGGACCTAAGAACTACGCCTACAAATATACTACTTTGTCTGGAGAGGAACAGATCGTATGTAAGTAAAAGGCATATCACTCAACTACAAGGCATCCCAAGTAGTCAATTTTGAGAAAATAAAAGACATGGTGCTGAAGAAATCTGATCCTGTTTCTGTACTTTCTCGACAGCTACGACGTACAAGAGAGCATGCAGTAGTAACAGTCGAGTTTCCTAAGGTATACAAGATAACTTCAATGAAAAGGAAATTCTATGAAGATCATACCTCTGTACCATTTGGATTTAAGAAAATAAAGTATTGATTTATTAATGTATGTAAATATTTTTTAATAAACATGTAAAATAAAATGTATGCAAATGATTTTTTGTTTTTTATTTCCCGCCTAATTGAAAAATATTTTTGCACCCGAAATTGTTCAGCCTTTTTACTCCATATAAAATATTTAAAAGTATGCATTGTTATTATTAAACGCCTGCAGTAATATACACCAAAAAATTGAGAAGCAGTGTAACCATGTGGAACTTTGTATAATCACAAAAAAACATATCTTGGAAAATAAAAAATACAGGAGATTCATAAGCAGTGTAGAGAGGAAACTACGTAAAAGTAATCGATTATTACTAATAAAATAGAGTTTTGAATTCCTATTTTTACAATAATAATCATTTTACTATCTTACGTGTTGGGCACTGCACTGCACGGGTACCAACACTGTACTGCACGGGCACGAAAAATTGAGAAGCATGATAACCATGTAGAACTTCGTATCACTACGTAAATGGTTATTACGAAAAGTAGAAATAAAAACTATATTTTCGATAATAGCTATACTATTTTTTATGAGCACCGAAAAAATTGAGAAGCACGATAACCTCATAGAACTTCGAAACAGCACCAGAGACAACCGAAGGCTACAGAAAAAAACACATACTGAAAAGGCATTACATCTATCAGCGCTGGTATCCGATAATACTGTTTCCTTTGACATTCGTTGGGATATGAAAACACATATTTGCTTCCCACCGTTATAACGGAAATAATAGTTACTGCAAAAGCAGTTTCACGATAAGACCATACATTAATCTACAAAGTTGATAATAAAACATATGTACTATTAAAATGCAGATATTTTTAAAATTATACAATTAAAAAATCAAAATAATATATTATAAATGGTAGGGGATACAGGGTAAACACCGAAATATACTTAATTTAGAATAGTTACTTATAATCTCCTCAGTTCTTTGGTCAGCCGTATCGACAATTTACCGGTGGGTCCTCTATTTTTGTGCATGTAAAAGGTTAGACTATGGCGCTAGCAAAAAAAAAAAACAAAATGCAACAAAGTAGAGTCACTTAATATTCTTGTTGAAATTACGGATAGAATATGGTAGAAAGTAACAATCAGATATTGTAGAAGCCATGTAATTGTTTAATTGTTGAGGAAAAAGTATTTTTCATACGCTGACCATGTTTATGTCCGCTTGGTACGCGACCAGATCTTTTCCAAACCTTTGCCCGTAGGGTTCATGAGCCTACGACCAAATGTGTCGTCGAAGGGGCATTTTTGGCCAAATTCGGTCGAAACCGATGCTGCGTTCGTACCCTAGAGCCTACGAACAGTGACTCAAACTTAATTTTAATTGATATGCAAAGATCTGGCTAGAATGCTTGAGCTAGTGATTATATGCAATTTATCGGTGACGAGCTTTCCTCTAGCATATCTTGATTTATTCAAGCGAATCAATGAGAAACTAGTGAATAAAATTACCTGACAGCCATAGTACAAGTTGGTATATCTACACCTTCTCTTACATTTGGCGCCACTAAAATGTTAATCTCCTTGTTTCTAAAAACGATCAAGTACTTATCTGTTCTTCTTATTAATCGGAAGTGATTCTACGGTGCTATTAAAAGAGTTTCCGTTATATCCCACAACGAAATCCGGCTTTATATGTCTGAACTCTGGTACATGTTCACTCAAATCTTTCAGTACATGGTGCAATAATTTTGGCAGTTGATCTTTCCTTCGTGAATATTAAACCACAAATGTCTTCGTTTGAAGATGAACTGTTGAAAAGTGTTACGTTTATATTAGTATTAATATTTATGACATTTACTTTTTTAAAATAGTTAAATACTACGATAAACTGGGAATGTGGGATGAAGCAGAAATGTTTCTGTAACCCAATTTAGGTATGTATAGCAAGTCTTACGCAAGACAATAATAAAAACAGAAAAATTCATAGTATTTCTAAGGCAACACCGACCGGAGTGCTATAATTTTAGCATACATTTACAGGTTATAGGTCTAATGATAAATAGAAAGTGATTAAAATTTTAACTTCAATTTTCGTAAAATAGCTGAGATATGCCATCTTGCAGTAGCCTGAAATGAAATACCCGACAGGTTACCCATCACCTGATAGTCTGTGGTTCTCGCCGCTAGATGACGCTACATACAAACGTCATCTGTCAAACGTTATGTGTATCATTGATAAGTGTGAGTTGTGTCTCTAAGCGCTAGATGGTGTCGATGTCGCACTGGTGTCGTAGAGTGACCCACATACAGGGGTCGATAGAAATTTTTGGGGCCCTACCGACGGGTCGATGAACCGACGGTATAACGTCAGATCGAAATAAGCTCCATTCACATGGGAGGTGTGTGTGGAATTGCTCGTGGGAGACACGGACCTTGTCGTATATAGCAAGACGTGTCCTAAAATGGTGATACCCATTGGTCGCTCAGCCATACAGGTCGGTCAGACAGAAGTTTTTGGGACCGGGGTGCTCTGATTGGTGGATCAGACGGCGGGAAATTTGAACGGTGTTGATGGTATAGCTGAATGGTGGACGGCGGGGTCGGGTGCGTTGGTAATCACCTATGTCGCAAATGAGGTTAGATAGATAGTCGTTCAGTGAAGGTGTTGTCGTAGCGGTGATATGCAAGAAGTACTGCTCGCGGGGGTGTCAACGAGTTAATATTGGCCAACGATAACAGCGGTGACCCTGGAACACTGTTGTCACACGGTTGCAAAAGATGACAGGTTATCTCTTAATTTTCGTAAACAACGATTTTTCTAAAGTGGTAAAAACAGGTCGAAATTTTAAATACCTATGAATCACCGCAAATTATCTTGTCAGTTATCTGCTGCGAACAAAACATGCTCAGCTCAGACTTATCTAAAAAGTGGTGGGAAAATCGATATTATAAAAATATTTATGAATCACCGCAAATTCTCTTAGACGTGCTCTTATCAGTTCAGACTTAGTTAAAACTGGTGGGTAAAATCGAGATTATAAATACCTATGAATCACCGCAAATTACCTTGTCAGTTATCTGCAGTGAACAGACGTGCTCAGTTCAGACTTAGCAATTCCCAACGCTCCTCCGTGGCCATTCCCCTTACCCTCTCGCGAGTGCGCGCATGCGCATGCGGCTCGTTCTGGTCTATAGACATATGATCGCTAATGATCTTGAACAAAGATGTCCTGATACACGAACCGCCAGAGGTACATCAGAAGTAATGTTAGTATTGTGTGTGCGTGTTTTTTGAACACGCCAAGTCGTGATGTACATCACGTGACGTACGTCACGTGACCTACGTGACGTGCGTGTGACAGGTGACGTACGTGTGACAGGTGACGTGCGTCACGTGACACGTGACGCACGTGGCACGTGACGTGCGTCACGTGACACTTGACGCACGTGGCGTACGTCACGTGACACGTGACGTGCACACTTTGTTCAAAAATACCAAAAAGCTGTCTTGATAGCCCGAACCGCCAGAGGTACAACATCAGAAGTAATGTTAGTGCGTGGTTGAGGTTCAAAAACTTAGCGTGTTCAAAAAAAAACGTACCTAGACCAAAAGTCATTCTAGACCAGTCACTCTAGACCAAAGCACAAAAAAAACGCCGTTTTTCAACGCCTTTTTTGTCACCATTCCCCTTAGTAGCGCGCATGCACATGGGGCTCGTTCTGCTGGTGCTGGTGCTGGCGCGGGCGTAGATAGCGTTTGTGGTAAGGGTTGGGGTAGGTCTTGTTCTCTTACCACTATCCTATGGTACACAACAAACAAACTTACTCGTGCGCGATAAGAGAACAAGACCTACCCCAACCCTTACCACAAACGCTATCTACGCCCGCGCCAGCACCAGCACCAGCAGAACGAGCCCCATGTGCATGCGCGCTACTAAGGGGAATGGTGACAAAAAAGGCGTTGAAAAACGGCGTTTTTTTTGTGCTTTGGTCTAGAGTGACTGGTCTAGAATGACTTTTGGTCTAGGTACGTTTTTTTTTGAACACGCTAAGTTTTTGAACCTCAACCACGCACTAACATTACTTCTGATGTTGTACCTCTGGCGGTTCGGGCTATCAAGACAGCTTTTTGGTATTTTTGAACAAAGTGTGCACGTCACGTGTCACGTGACGTACGCCACGTGCGTCAAGTGTCACGTGACGCACGTCACGTGCCACGTGCGTCACGTGTCACGTGACGCACGTCACCTGTCACACGTACGTCACCTGTCACACGCACGTCACGTAGGTCACGTGACGTACGTCACGTGATGTACATCACGACTTGGCGTGTTCAAAAAACACGCACACACAATACTAACATTACTTCTGATGTACCTCTGGCGGTTCGTGTATCAGGACATCTTTGTTCAAGATCATTAGCGATCATATGTCTATAGACCAGAACGAGCCGCATGCGCATGCGCGCACTCGCGAGAGGGTAAGGGGAATGGCCACGGAGGAGCGTTGGGAATTGCTAAGTCTGAACTGAGCACGTCTGTTCACTGCAGATAACTGACAAGGTAATTTGCGGTGATTCATAGGTATTTATAATCTCGATTTTACCCACCAGTTTTAACTAAGTCTGAACTGATAAGAGCACGTCTAAGAGAATTTGCGGTGATTCATAAATATTTTTATAATATCGATTTTCCCACCACTTTTTAGATAAGTCTGAGCTGAGCATGTTTTGTTCGCAGCAGATAACTGACAAGATAATTTGCGGTGATTCATAGGTATTTAAAATTTCGACCTGTTTTTACCACTTTAGAAAAATCGTTGTTTACGAAAATTAAGAGATAACCTGTCATCTTTTGCAACCGTGTGACAACAGTGTTCCAGGGTCACCGCTGTTATCGTTGGCCAATATTAACTCGTTGACACCCCCGCGAGCAGTACTTCTTGCATATCACCGCTACGACAACACCTTCACTGAACGACTATCTATCTAACCTCATTTGCGACATAGGTGATTACCAACGCACCCGACCCCGCCGTCCACCATTCAGCTATACCATCAACACCGTTCAAATTTCCCGCCGTCTGATCCACCAATCAGAGCACCCCGGTCCCAAAAACTTCTGTCTGACCGACCTGTATGGCTGAGCGACCAATGGGTATCACCATTTTAGGACACGTCTTGCTATATACGACAAGGTCCGTGTCTCCCACGAGCAATTCCACACACACCTCCCATGTGAATGGAGCTTATTTCGATCTGACGTTATACCGTCGGTTCATCGACCCGTCGGTAGGGCCCCAAAAATTTCTATCGACCCCTGTATGTGGGTCACTCTACGACACCAGTGCGACATCGACACCATCTAGCGCTTAGAGACACAACTCACACTTATCAATGATACACATAACGTTTGACAGATGACGTTTGTATGTAGCGTCATCTAGCGGCGAGAACCACAGACTATCAGGTGATGGGTAACCTGTCGGGTATTTCATTTCAGGCTACTGCAAGATGGCATATCTCAGCTATTTTACGAAAATTGAAGTTAAAATTTTAATCACTTTCTATTTATCATTAGACCTATAACCTGTAAATGTATGCTAAAATTATAGCACTCCGGTCGGTGTTGCCTTAGAAATACTATGAATTTTTCTGTTTTTATTATTGTCTTGCGTAAGACTTGCTATACATACCTAAATTGGGTTACAGAAACATTTCTGCTTCATCCCACATTCCCAGTTTATCGTAGTATTTAACTATTTTAAAAAAGTAAATGTCATAAATATTAATACTAATATAAACGTAACACTTTTCAACAGTTCATCTTCAAACGAAGACATTTGTGGTTTAATATTCACGAAGGAAAGATCAACTGCCAAAATTATTGCACCATGTACTGAAAGATTTGAGTGAACATGTACCAGAGTTCAGACATATAAAGCCGGATTTCGTTGTGGGATATAACGGAAACTCTTTTAATAGCACCGTAGAATCACTTCCGATTAATAAGAAGAACAGATAAGTACTTGATCGTTTTTAGAAACAAGGAGATTAACATTTTAGTGGCGCCAAATGTAAGAGAAGGTGTAGATATACCAACTTGTACTATGGCTGTCAGGTAATTTTATTCACTAGTTTCTCATTGATTCGCTTGAATAAATCAAGATATGCTAGAGGAAAGCTCGTCACCGATAAATTGCATATAATCACTAGCTCAAGCATTCTAGCCAGATCTTTGCATATCAATTAAAATTAAGTTTGAGTCACTGTTCGTAGGCTCTAGGGTACAAACGCAGCATCGGTTTCGACCGAATTTGGCCAAAAATGCCCCTTCGACGACACATTTGGTCGTAGGCTCATGAACCCTACGGGCAAAGGTTTGGAAAAGATCTGGTCGCGTACCAAGCGGACATAAACATGGTCAGCGTATGAAAAATACTTTTTCCTCAACAATTAAACAATTACATGGCTTCTACAATATCTGATTGTTACTTTCTACCATATTCTATCCGTAATTTCAACAAGAATATTAAGTGACTCTACTTTGTTGCATTTTGTTTTTTTTTTTTGCTAGCGCCATAGTCTAACCTTTTACATGCACAAAAATAGAGGACCCACCGGTAAATTGTCGATACGGCTGACCAAAGAACTGAGGAGATTATAAGTAACTATTCTAAATTAAGTATATTTCGGTGTTTACCCTGTATCCCCTACCATTTATAATATATTATTTTGATTTTTTAATTGTATAATTTTAAAAATATCTGCATTTTAATAGTACATATGTTTTATTATCAACTTTGTAGATTAATGTATGGTCTTATCGTGAAACTGCTTTTGCAGTAACTATTATTTCCGTTATAACGGTGGGAAGCAAATATGTGTTTTCATATCCCAACGAATGTCAAAGGAAACAGTATTATCGGATACCAGCGCTGATAGATGTAATGCCTTTTCAGTATGTGTTTTTTTCTGTAGCCTTCGGTTGTCTCTGGTGCTGTTTCGAAGTTCTATGAGGTTATCGTGCTTCTCAATTTTTTCGGTGCTCATAAAAAATAGTATAGCTATTATCGAAAATATAGTTTTTATTTCTACTTTTCGTAATAACCATTTACGTAGTGATACGAAGTTCTACATGGTTATCATGCTTCTCAATTTTTCGTGCCCGTGCAGTACAGTGTTGGTACCCGTGCAGTGCAGTGCCCAACACGTAAGATAGTAAAATGATTATTATTGTAAAAATAGGAATTCAAAACTCTATTTTATTAGTAATAATCGATTACTTTTACGTAGTTTCCTATCTACACTGCTTATGAATCTCCTGTATTTTTTATTTTCCAAGATATGTTTTTTTGTGATTATACAAAGTTCCACATGGTTACACTGCTTCTCAATTTTTTTGGTGTATATTACTGCAGGCGTTTAATAATAACAATGCATACTTTTAAATATTTTATATGGAGTAAAAAGGCTGAACAATTTCGGGTGCAAAAATATTTTTCAATTAGGCGGGAAATAAAAAACAAAAAATCATTTGCATACATTTTATTTTACATGTTTATTAAAAAATATTTACATACATTAATAAATCAATACTTTATTTTCTTAAATCCAAATGGTACAGAGGTATGATCTTCATAGAATTTCCTTTTCATTGAAGTTATCTTGTATACCTTAGGAAACTCGACTGTTACTACTGCATGCTCTCTTGTACGTCGTAGCTGTCGAGAAAGTACAGAAACAGGATCAGATTTCTTCAGCACCATGTCTTTTATTTTCTCAAAATTGACTACTTGGGATGCCTTGTAGTTGAGTGATATGCCTTTTACTTTACATACGATCTGTTCCTCTCCAGACAAAGTAGTATATTTGTAGGCGTAGTTCTTAGGTCCTCCAGAAACAAACTCTGATATGAAACCCCCATTGAGCTCATCGGTCATATCACCTATGAAGTCGCCTGTAGATATGTCGTCTAATCCCTTACGAGAGATATAAATACATGAATCTGTATCTACGTAAACTGCCCTTTCTTCCACTTTCTCCAAGAATGAATATAATTTTAGTCTAGCTAGGGCCGTGACATATGAAGCCAATACAACGTTAACCGTTGAAGAAACGTCATAGGCCTCTTCTCTAAATTCCCAAGTTATGAGAAGGGTTTCTTCGTTTACCGGGAGAACTGTATTTACATGAATAGAAGGATTAGTCAGCATATCAAAGAATTCACCACAGTCTCTGACTATTGAGGTTTTGTTTTGGTTTTCTTTTTGAGCAAATTTACCCCAAAAGGAATTCAGCATAAGTTTAGCTAACGATCTCAAACAGGGGTTCTCTATAATTTTTGAAAATTCCAGCTTTATGTCTTCTCTATCCAAAAATGCATCAATATAACGGTTTTTTTCTTCATCCGTTAAGCAATGTTTGGGCCATCCTGAAGCTTGTTGTTTTATTTGTAGAAACTTGTTCATCATTCCGCTAAATAACCCCTCTTGGTCTTTACTGAGCTGAATTGTATCGTATTCCCATATTTCGTAAGTCTCTATAATCTGGTAACCTTTTTCAATAGCTTTGAGCACCTCTTCTATCACCCAAGTTCCTTTTAGGCTTCTTTCTTGAATAGAATGCTGACACTCTTCTCGAACGAAATCTTCACCACATTTTTGACAGTTAACAAACATCAATTTGTTGTTCATTTTTGACGGTAAAACGGGGTGATATAAGTTCTGGTTCGGTAGAATCTGGCATTTAATAAGTCCTGACATCTGCGACAGAGAGGCTGTAACACATTCTTCACCTACGTAAATTTTTTTTGGATGACCCACCGGAAATTTTCCATATTTACAGATGAAGGGGTACAGGGAACATATATCGACATATTTTATGCATTCATTTGTTTTGATCTTGTAGTATTCAACGATATTTTCTGTACGTCCCCCGTAGAGAGCGTCTCTGGGGTTAATCGGTAAATTGATTATCAATGGATGTGCTTCTGTGAAGGCTCTAATTTCATCGTTTAGCATTCCTCGAAATTGACATTCCCATATCTCAATTACTTCTAGTCCAAGGCTTCGGAGTCTCTCTACTTTGCTAACTGATTGTTCGTATCGACTTTCCAATGTATTCAACGGATCATTATGCAGAGGATTGCTTCTTTTGTATTTGAAACATCGAGGGCAACCGTGAAAATAGCATCCTTGGAATTCAAACACTTGATTTGTGTCGCTACAGAAACCGTCTACTTTATGTCCCTTAACAATGGTTTCTATACCCTTAGCGGCGTGTTGAATTTTGATTCCTCTTTGATGTTCCTCCCACAACAGCCATTGGATGGCAATTTTTGACTGATTTTCACGCCATCTATAGCCCCCTTTTGGAATTACCCCGATCGTCTCAGGTTTTAAAAAATTGCGTCTAAAGACTTTGTTACAGCATGATGCAATAGTGGTGCTTTCCTGGAAGGGATCGACTGTGGTTTCGGTTTTCATCAGGTCTCGAAATTTGAGACACGCCTGTGTCAATATTTCCACATCGGAGATACAGTATTCAACGATTTCTTTCTGAAAATCAAAAACGTATCCCTCCGCTTGTCTTTCGCCATGCCATTTTAATAATTTTTCCCGAGCGTCTTCCTTTAAATGGTCGGGATCGTAGAAGTCGAGCGCTGGAATTGGCCCTACATAATTCTGATGAGCCAAAGTGTTGAATAAATGTGGAAAGTATCCTTTCTTTAGCTCTTTCAAATCAAACGCCTTGGGTAGAGCAGTTAGAGGCATAGGAAAATAATTGAGAGAATCCAGAAATTTTACATTTCCTACCTCCATCAATATTAATTTTGTTCCTCTCATAATTACATTCGGGTACAGACTAGTCTTCTCTAAAATGTAACGAAGTAGAAACTGATGATCAAATCCTCCACCATTATGCGCCAGTACAATGACTTTCTTGAATTTTTTACGAAGTGTCAGAATATGATGCATAAATGGAGAAATGACGTCTTGACATCGAAGAATCTGTATTCGAAGGCCACATTTCTTGCATATAGGATTATCGGTACATGATTCACAACATTGTTTGAATACACATAGATTTGGCTCATGCAGTAAAGATCCATTGGGTAATTCCTTCTCCTGACGGGTTTCCAAATCGTAAAATATTAATAAGACATCATTTGATTTAGGAATACTTCTGTCAGGCTGTATATAGCACATATGTTCAATTGGTTGATTTTTATAACATGTTTTACAAAGTATATATCCGCAGATGTGATCATTACCGTTGTGAACTTTAAAACAGTCTACACATCTTTTAATTTTAGAACAGACCGATGGTAAATGAGCGTTAAAACATTCTTGTCCATAAAAGCTTCTATTACATTCTTTGCATTTGATGTGCTTCGTTTTCAGGCAGGCCGGAGATCTTTTACAAGCATAACATTGTTTATCACATCTATGAATTTGTTTAGTATTATACGGAATGTGGCAGTTCTCACAAAAAAAGCTGCAGCAAAAGGCAGCAGTGAGGGATGTTATGACGCTGTAGTGCCCCTCGTGATATATTAGGTTAAGCGTCGGACCAGCGGACACGCCTTCAAAAATGACGTCACGACCTTTGCACCCAAACTTGTATACAACAATTTTGTAGTTTTGCAGATATCGTTGTAGCTTTTGAAGTTCAGGTATTCCACACCCCTCCTCAGGGATAACAATATCAGCCTTTTCCACAAGTTGTACAGCTCTTTGTCCTTGTATTTTTCCTCGATCACGGCGGATTCTGCTATAATCTTTGTCTTTGTTCAAATGGGCCATGGCGATGACAAGGGCTCGTGGGAGACACAAATTATCGGTGTTTTTAACGGTGATAATGCCTTTTCTTTTGGCGCATTCCTCATCAAAGGTATTGAAATTCTGAGCTCTACCACGACCAGCAGGCAACCTTACGGACGTAATACCCAAGCAAAAAGTCTCGGTATTCAACCCCACAGAATTTGACTGATAGATGGAAGATATCTTCTCCCATATGTCCTCAGTTGAAACGTCGGAAAACAATTTATAAGCTATCCATCCTTGACCGCGGGTAAAGTCTTTGGAACAGAAAGTGAATCCAACTTGATCACTGGGCTGGAGATGTTCAGTTCCTTTGGCTACTATTTCCTCCAGAGCGTCTTTGATCCATCCCACAGGTTCGACGTCTTTAGGGATAGGTCGTATTTTAAATTCCACTTCTCGCCCATATAGATTAAATTTTTTAATCTTCTTAGTAGAATCCTTAACGATGAAGAATTTTTCCATTTTTTAAAAACTAAAACGTTAACTAGCGACTAAATCTGAACTGAGCACGTCTGTTCGCTGCAGATAACTGACAAGATAATTTGCGGTGATTCATAGGTATTTATAATCTCGATTTTACCCCCACCACTTTTTAACTGACCACAGTGTTTCAAGGTCACCGCTGTTATCGTTGGTCAGTATTAACTCGTTGACAGCCTGCGCTTCCTGCCCATTCACCCATGCTTAACAGCCCCGCCCGGTACTTCTTGCATATCACCGCTACGACAACACCTGCCCTGAACCTAACCTCATTTGCGACGTAGGTGATTGCCTTGTTGAATTTATTAGATACACAATATAGACTGTACTATGTTTTCAATATTGTATCAATGTTAAAAATTAACTAACATTAACTGTATGCACCACATATATGAGCAATTCCATTTTTATATGCACACTGAATATGACGTGTTGATTATTGAGATCATCCTATACGCATTGTTTCCCGCGAATTTTATACGTTTTTCCATTTAAACTGAATCAGCAGAATTGCATCTATAAATATCATTATTCATGGGCTTTTATCGATCTATATGCAAATATTTACCGCAAAACATGAAATGAGTCACATCGCTTACGCATAGACGTTATACTACACCTTACTATCGTCGGCTGTCTGAATCACTTCCGGTCGGGTGCGCTATCTAACGGGGCCCGCCAATCAACATATACCATCAACCCGTTCAAACTTCCCGCCGTCTGATCCACCAATCAGAGCACGCGGTGGATCTACCGGTTCCCGCCAATCAACATATACCATCAACCCCGTTCAAATTTCCCGCCGTTTGATCCGCCAATCAGAGCACGCGGTGGATCTAGCGGTTCCCGCCAATCAACATATACCATCAACCCCGTTCAAATTTCCCGCCGTTTGATCCGCCAATCAGAGCACGCGGTGGATGTGGTGGGCGTGGCCAAAAAGTGGAAGTGGTGGGGGGCGCCCAGAGTGCACCAGTATCTACTAAGAAAGATAAGGAAATATCTCGTACTTATTTTAAATAGGAATTTGGTACATAGTATGCGATTGATTTGACCAAACTTTGTTGCTAAAATAACTTGTAACGGTTTATGACATAAATTAACCATGGTATATTCCACAGCAGAAAGAGTTGAAATTATCGAAATATTTTTCGGAAATAATCAGTGCACTAATAGAACAGCACAAATATTTAATGAGCGACATGAGAACAGTAACGTGCATCGAAAATATGTTCTAGAACTTGTAGCTAAATTTCGGGAAACTGGGTCAGTCGCCAATAAAAAACGCAACATTGGAAATCCCATAAGGAACGAAGCAACAGAAGTGGAGGTTTATGTAGATCCTACGTTAAGTACCCGCAAATTGGAGACTGTGTGTGGTGTTAGTCGACGTCCTGGCCAACGGATTCTAAAGGCCAATAGTTTTCATCCGTATAGAATTCACCTGGTGTAGGAACTTAATGAAGACGATTTTGATCGGCGATTACAATTTTGTGAAGATATGAGTTAACGAATTGTAAACGATGAACATTTTCTATTTAACAGTTGCTTTTCCGACGAATGTTCCTTTTTCGTAAATGGCGTAGTAAATCGCCATACGAGTAACTGTCGATATTGGTCCGATTCTAATCCCAGAATGTATCATGAGGTTCATACACAGTAGCCACAAAAATTAACTGTTTGGGCTGGTATTTTTGGCGATCATTTAGTTGGTCCTTTTGACCGGTTAAATGTATTTGGAATTACTGGAACACGCCATAGATCCTGCATTACGTGTTGAACAATATTCAGATCAGACGTTTCCAGATCGATGGATTGGTAGAAGAGGTGCCATTGAATGGCCCCCAAGATCGCCAGATTTATCACCTTTGGATTTCATTATGTGGGGTCATTTAAAAAGCAAAATCTATGCTACTCAGCCAACATCATTAGAAGACCTGTTACAAAGAATTGTTTAAATAGCTTAAAAACAGTATAACAGGATACCTCTAGAATGTAATAATGTAAAACACTTGGTGACTGTACTAACAGATATTCATTGGAACATCGTGCAAGGAAAAATCTTGGTAATACAAATAGCCGAATTTGGCCGCAGAAGAACACAGCTCGATCCCGGTTGGAAGTCTGGCTGCATCTCGACTCGCGAGTTAACTATGAATAATTTGTGTGAATGCGAGAAGGCCGGTAAGTGGTGACCTCTCTCGGGATGCGGAACCGTCTCTCCTCTCCTGCCGACCTCTATCCAAGATGCTAGGGTGCCAGCTGTCGGATGGCAGAGGTAGAGTTTGCTCTATATACGCCATGATATGGGCGAGGAGAATATTGGTATGAGTATGGTGCTACATTTTTTTATCAACTAACCCAAGAAATCAACATTATTGAAAAGTAGCATTTTCCTCCCTAATGACATTTGTAAATTGTTTCCTGTCAGTTCCATTGTTTATACATCAAGATATTCTGGAACGATTGAGAGGAATTTTGAGTGTAGCTCCTCATGTTGAGACAAAGAAATCATCTGTACTTCACTCTTTTTGGATGGGCCTGTTCAAACAGTTTATCACATGTTTATCTGATTGAATCAGATAATGTGCACATCTAGTATGGCGTCCATAAAAAAAATAAAGTTGATAATTGAAAAAAATGTTTCTTTAGAATTGAAATTATGCTACATTGAAGAAGAGAAAAATATGTTACTGTAGTTTTCATTATGAAATCTCATCTCAAATAAAATCAAGAAAACATGTGTAACACCTTCTTAGTAACCTAAATAAGCAACCTTGTCCCCAATCAACGAATTTGTCGAACGTATCTCTTACTGTTTCCGAGGTTCGAATTTAGAATACCGATATAATGTATTTATTATATTTTCTTATGACCTATTCTTGGCAAATTGTCGGACTAAGTAGTTTACCACCAAACTCACAATTTTGCAAGAAAAGTCTCTTCAGACGTGCTGTTTTCTGCAAGATACATACAGGGTGGCGCATCGAAAACGAAACAGACGTTTACTCGCAGCTCAGTTTTTTTTGGAAAAACGCTCAGACCCGTCGATTTTGTTTTAGAGGGGACACAAGTTGGGCAAAAAATCACGTTAACACGTCCAGCCCCTCGGCGGGGGTGGCACCAACCCTTAAATCTTAAATGGACAGGGGGGGTTGAGTGATACCTTATGTTAAAGGTCTTTCAATTCCCTTTATAATGATATAAAACTAATGTACTTCAGAACAGTAGTTTTGAAGATTTATTGATTTAAAGCTTAAAGTAGACTTTAATAGGTACATCAGATTAGTTTGTACTACTTTCAGAAAAAAATTAACTAAAAGAATTTACTTAATAAGTAAATGCTTTTCTTCACTACGCCCATGGTTTGTTTATCAGTTTGTTGTTGAAAATAGCTATTTGAGCGTTTTTTGTGGCAAAAAAGTTATTTCTTGAAGAAAGATAAGGAAATATCTCGTACTTATTTTAAATAGTACATAGTTTGCGATTGATTTGACAAAACTTTGCTGCCAAATGTATTGATCTCCACTAATGATGATTTATTTAAGCTTTAGAACAATAAATCTTCAAAACTACTGAACTGAAGTACATTAATTTTATATCATTATAAAGGGAATTGAAAGACCCTTAAAATAAGGTATCACTCGACCCCCTTTCCATTTAAGATTTTGGGGGTGGTGTCACCCCCGCTCAGGGTTCTGCACATGCTAACGTGATTTTTTGCCAAACTTGTGTCCAGCTCGAAAACAAAATCGACGGGTCTGAGCGTTTAAAAAAAAACTGAGCTGCCAGTAAATGCGTCTGTTTCGTTTTCGATGCGCCACCCTGTATATGCATACCACTAGAAAATCTGTATCAGGGTAAGCGCCAATATAGTATTAGGAGCAAAGCGCCTTCTCAATACCTCATGACGTTTCTACGATCCTGATATCAAACTTTCATCCATCAAATTAAATCCACATAAGTGCTGACGTGTTGTCCTCTACCATCGAAATATACATATTTATGTATGAAAAACGAAAACTTTCATATTAGGAGAAAATGTGCCTTCCCCATACCGTCTCCTGGTAGCAAATCTCATTTAGCGAAAACTCTGTATCAGGATCACAAAAGGGATGAGAGATAATTTTAAGAATAATTACACTTTTCCGCCTATATTTGTACTATACCAGGAACAAACTTCGTCTCCAGTACCTTCTTATATTTTTACAATCCTGATAGAACACTGTTATCTGATGGTATACTCGAGTCCTAAGTAATACTACACTATTTTTTTAACTATACACTGACGGGTAAACCCTGTATACGAACGGTGCTGTGGTGATGATTAATTAGACTTACCGAGGTTAGGATCTTGGCAGCCCTGCTGGCGAAGCCAACTGCCTCGCGGTTGCACTTCATCTCCGTAAGGCTCCTGCAAATTCAAACAAAAAATTCGTGTTAGTGCTGGAAGATTAGATGAGATTTTACTTTGAAATGATCGAAGGGTGTTTCAGTTTATTGTTGTATAACTTTAGGATTCGATAGAACTTTTAAAATGAATGCATAAAGTTCTATATAAACATGGGTCGAAAAATGCGTGGCTTCCGAAATACAGGATGTTTAAATTTACTTTCTAAAATAGTTTTTTTAAAATATTTCGAACAATATTTGATGTATAACAGTGAAAATTGGTATACAAGGGTTTTTTTGGTACGACAAAACGAACCATGGGCATAGTTTTACTGTAACCACTAGAGGGCGCTCTCTACTGTACCTGTAGTGTATTAAAATGAGCGAAATTTTCTTAGAGCAACTTTTTGCTTTTTGAACACAAAAAATGATTCTTCGCACTTTTCAACATCCTGTGAGTTTTCGTTATAGTTAGCCGTTTTTGAGATATTTCGATTTCTAAGGTTCGATGCATTTTTAATTATTTATGGGAAAATAATGTTTTTTTTACATTTTCGATTTGGGCATTACAAGTAATTGAGATGATCGTTTAGATTGTGTTTTTAAACACAGCAATAATTCCTAACTCCAAATAAACACAAAAAAACAGAATATTAATTTGTTTAATTTTCCAATATTATTTTTAACAAATTAAATTAATTATTTACAACTAAAATGCTATTGGATAGTTAGGACAAACATACAAAATCTTAAGTAGTTGCTCGAAATGTAAACCCAATTGTTCAATACACAATTCACATCTACGAATGATCGAACGTGGTATAGCATTATTCAAATAAAGCCTTATTTCATCACATGCATTCCTGATTCTGTCTATTAGCATACCTCTTGTGGTTACGGGAGTCTGGTACACTTTTTCTTTTAGAAATCCCCACACAAAGAAATCTAATGGATTTAGGTCAGGGGATCGTGGAGGCCAGGCGACTGGTCCTCCACGGCCGATCCATCTTTCTGGATAATTTTCGTCCAGCCAGTTTCTAACTATTCTGGAATAATGAGCTGGACAACCATCAAGCTGGAACCAGGCCAATCGTCTTAAATCTAACATAACATCATCCCACATATTTGCATGTTCAGCCTTTAAAAGTTCCAAGAAGGTCGCAGCATTTAACCTTGCAGGTAAAAGGTAGAGTCCAAATAGTCGATTACGGTAGATACTAATCCACACGTTCACACTAAATTCATGCTGAAAATTTCTTTCGCAAACTGCATGGGGATTTGCATGCGACCAGATATGTTGATTATGAAAATTTACCACTCCACGTCGAGTAAAGCATGACTCATCGGTCAATAAAACGTTACTTAAAAACTCCCTATTATTATCAGTTCTATCAAGAATCCATTGACAAAATGGTAAGGACGTCTATGGTCATTTCTAAGAACACCGTGAACATGGCTTGCTGAAATTCCCAAGGCACCAGAAACTGTCCTAATACTTGTGGTCGGATCTCTATCAAACTCACGCAGAATCATACGGGTAAATCTGCGCTGACGAACATTTAAGTTTTGATCCCTTTGGAGATTTCCAAAACCATTTTCAATTATTTGGCGATGCACTCTTACAAATACTGAGCGAGCTGGATGTCGTCTGTTTGGAAATCTTCGTGCGTATTCTCTGGCTGCTTCTGCTGCGTTTCCATTTTCAAAGCCATACACAAAATGAATATCCGCTAACTCTTGATTGGAGAATAAAAATGGCATTTTTATAAAACTTACAAAAAAACAGGTAAAAGAAACTAAATTTCGTGCATTCACAATTGCAAAAAAACGATTCAGGTTTCAACAGACAACAAAACTAACTGTCAACTAATTGACGTTTAACCATATTCTGCTTTCAATTTCAAAATTATTTGCATACAGCCTACTTCTAAAAATTATCGAGATACTGACTTTTTAACGTTATTTTATCATAAATAATTAAAAATGCATCGAACCTTAAAAATCGAAATATCTCAAAAACGGCTAACTATAACGAAAATTCACAAGAGCTTTTTTATGTTGAAAAGTGCGAAGAATCAGTTTTTTTATTCAAAAAGCAAAAAATTGCACTATGAAAAAATGTTCGGTCATTTTAATACACTACAGGTGCAGTAGAGAGCGCCCTCTAGCGGCTACAGTAAAACTATGCCCATGGTTGGTTTTGTCGTACCAAAAAACCCTTGTATACCAATGTTCACTGTTATACATCAAATATTGTTCGAAATATTTAAAAAAAACTGTTTTAGAAAGTAAATTTAAACACCCTGTATTTCGGAAGCCACGCATTTTTCGACCCATGTTTATATAGACTTTATGCATTAATTTTAAAAGTTCTATCGAATCTTAAAGTTATGCAATAATAAACTGAAACACCCTGTATATTGTATAACAAATTCTTGGTACTGTAGATAAGTACCTAATAGATTCGCTGAACATTAGCGGATTTGTAAGTGCTTTATAATATTTAAATTTCAAAATTGCACCTCTAGGCACCAGATGGCTGACCTGTTGTACAGGGTGGCGCAGAGTAAACGCGTGATTTTTACGTAAGCATATCATTTATTATGTTTAAGATAATTTTATTTCAACTACAGCTGCTGAAGTAACTGTTACTGCTCTTTCTTCCTCATTAAAAAAGTAAGGACGAATGATACCTAATTTACTAATTCCGCACCACACAGTCAATTTTTCATTATGCAAGGGTCGTTGGTGTAGCCCCCGTAGATTTTCGGCCGCCCTGTTCCTACAGTTGTGCTTGTTTACATATCCCGTTAAATGGAAGTGTGCTTCGTCACTCATTATGACGACGTCAGGATCATCAGCAAAAATGGTCAGCATTCTCGCACAAAACTATCTACGCTGTGCAACATCACTTTCCGTTAGCTCTTGCACAATTATTATCTTAAAGGGATGAAATGGTAAATCGTGCAGAATGCGTTGTAATGATCGACGGGGCATACGCGGAGCTGAAGCTTTTCGCCTAGTGGACCGTTGACGACTATCAAGGACCGCTCTTCTCACTATTTTGATATTACATGGCGACGGAATAAATGTTGCACGGTAACTACAGAATCATTGTTTCGGAAAAAATGCTCTACGGCAAACGCACGATGCTCAGTTGTCCACGGTGCCATGCTAAAACTGCATTGCCTGTCGTCTCTGCTGGCGGTGAGGCAACACACGTCTCTTTGCGAAATACTATACTAAGTGACATATAAATCCGAACACCCAGTTTAAATGGTTTTATTTTAATAAAATTTTGTATAAGTACTTAATGAAGCATAATAAGTAAATGATAAAAATTTCAAAATGATTGCACTGCTTTAAAGCCCTTTGACCTTTAATAATGTGTGTATGCACCCTGATGTGATACGCATTCTCCAACGTGCCTAGGCATGCTTCTGATCAGGTGGTCAATGTCCTCCTGTGGTATCTCACTCCAGGCAACCACCAACTCCTCTCGAAGTGCTTCTAGAGTTTGAGGAGGACGTTGCAAATTGAGCAATCTCCTACCCATCATAACCCACACGTGCTCAATTGGGGATAAGTCGGGAGATCTTGGTGGCCATGGTAACAATGTGACATCATTATGTTGAAAGAAGTCTATTGTGATTCTTGCAACATGTGGTCGGGCATTATCTTGTTGGAAAGTTGGATCTGCCAGGGTGTCAAGATAGGGTAAAAGTTGGGGTTCTAGAACTTCGTGGATATAACGCTGCGAGTTCATGTTACCTCTGATGAAGATTAAAGGTGACCTGGAACCATAAGCTATATCACCCCAAACCATAACTCCAACAGTGTGATGAACATGTCTTTCAATGAAATGAAAGTCCAGCTTCCCGAAGTCCCACTATACGGCCCCTATCAAACTCACTAAGTTAACGAAATCGTACAGGTCTCCGTACTCTAGGCATCGTAACCGATCGTAAAGGATGTCAAAAACCAAAATCCGCCAACGTTGATTCTTTACTGCGGCTGAAATATTCATTTTTAGAGCGTTAGTGAATTACAAAAAAGCAGTATAAAAACCGCAATGTCCAACTGATAAGGCTGAAAATTTTTTCACTTGTTATTTACAGTAAGATGAATACATTCACCAACTTTTATTAAAATAAAAACCATTTATACTGGGTGTTCGGATTTATATGTCACTTAGTATAAATGCCTTTACAGAGCTAAGACGTAAGACAAATATAACTTTTATGCGTGAACATATTATCACTTACATTCCGGAGATTATACGTCTTTTATACGCTACTCATAGGACACAACAGCACAAAGCTCAGTATAAAGGCTTCAGAGGGAACAACAAACAAAGAAAATGAAATTTTCTCAGATGTGATTTCTCTTTAGGCGGCATCAGGCACTAGAAGCCGTCCGTTAAATAAATATGAACATAATAAAAACGCGTTCCGCGCAATTTTCGAGATTTTCCCGGTCATGCCATATCGCCCATATGGTGTGCCACAGTGGCGCCTCGCCGGCTGCCGAGGCGATTTAGACGAAAATTACGTCTCGGAAAATTCGTGATGCATCTCAGACAATAGTAAGCTCGGTAAGACAACAAGAGAATAATAACGGCAAACGAAAGAGGTTTTTTGCAAAGTGTAGCTTGTCAAAATCAGTTTCGTTTGTGAACCCATAGATCTGGTAAATATTGAATTAGTTAACATTTGAAAAAATCGTATGAAAAAACATTTGACATATTTTAAAAATTGTTTATTCACAAGAAAGCTAATTAGTTGGAATTCATTTCTTGAAAATTATATCATCTAAATGACCACCGTTACGATTTTTGCCCTCTTCTATACGTGTATCGAAGTTTTCGAATACTCGCCGGCACAAAGACTGCGAGATCGCCGGCATTTCTTTGTTGATGTTTTCTTTTAGTTGACGGAGTGTACTTGGTTTATTGATGTAGACACGACTCTTTTAATAACCCCATAAAAAAGTCTGGTGGGGCTAGATCTGGACTTCTGGGTG